GTATAAAAGGACATTCAAACCACTTTTTCTTTAAAATAGCTGTTATGTACATATGTGAATGTTTTGTATAAAATCTTTCTACAGCTTTAAAGTCAACTCTAGTTACTTCATCAAATATCCTGGATTTTTGGTTACATACCTTAGTTAGAAAAAACAATAGATGCAGTTTGTTTTGAAATGAATAAAAGAATTTGTCCAGAGAGGACTTACTAGCAAGTTGCATTTTGTTGTGTCATCTGTTTCCATGAAATAGATGCAGCCAAGATGGTTATTTATCGTTATCAATCAAGTTAACTCTTGCCATCAAGTTCTGCATTTACTAAAAGTATGTAATACTCTGATTAGTATTCCAAGTTATCAGAGCTCTTTTTTATCGGCATAGTAATACTAAATCAGGTTATAGAAAACTTGCAATATTATGTACGTGTATATAGATGATCTGGCTTCATTGATATCAAGGAAGTTAAGAATAGCTCTGCGTGGAGTTATTGTCATAATATACTCTTGTATCCCTGAATTTGATTTTTATTTTAATTAAAACATTTCATAACAATAAAATGCTGCCATTATATCTTCCACTTTATAAATATGAACCGTGGTTTGCTTATAACTACATATAAAATCTGTCAAGAAATCTACAGCATTCTATTATCCATTAGAATGTAGAACTATGCAATTAATATATAACATGGAAGAATTAATTTTGGATTGATTTACCATAAATTGCACATTAAGTTTGACTCTGTTGCTTCCGAGGAAGTGGATAGGATCCTAGAATATGTGCGCAAGTACCTGTGCTTTAGACCCATGTCCCCTTCTGACTTGTGAAAGCTTCCCAGGAGGTGACGGGTGGACTCTGGCAGTGGATTAATGCTTCCCTACCAGGAGTGCCTCGGCACTTTAAGGAGGCTGTGGACTACCCTTTTCTCAAGAAGCCATCACTGGATACCCTGTTGGATAATTTCCAATCTGTCTCCAGTCTTCCCTTTTTGGAGAAGGTTATTGAGAAGGTGGTTGCATGGCAGCTCCAGAGGTTTCTGGATGAAACGGATTATCTACACCTCTACCAGTCAGCATTCAGCCCTGGATATGGGACAAAAATGCTTTTGGATGATCTCTGGTGGGAGTGGGATTTGATATATATATCCTTGCTCTACTTGACCTCTTGGCAGCTTTCAGTACCATCAACTATGGTATCTTGGAGCGGTTTCAGGGATTGGGAGTGGAGGGCTCTGTGCTATCCTGGTTCACTTTCTCACTGGCCGCTTTCGATGTTAATAGGAGATGAGAAATCCAGCCCTCGCCCTCTACTTTGCAGGGTCCCGCAGGGCTTTGTACTTTCTCCTACATGAAGCTGTTGGGCGAGATCACCCATCGTCATGGACTGAGATAATATGCTGATGATACTCAGCTGTATGTCTTGGCCCTTGGTGAGTTAAGTGGTAGCATGACCTTCCTCTTGCAGTGCTTGGAGACTATTAGGGGTTGGATGGTGAGCAACAGGTTGAAACTGAATTCTACAAGACTTAAGTAGATCTGGGTTTGGGGTTCTTTGGCCCATGGAGAATTGCCACCTTTGGTCTTGGATGGGGTGGCACTGCCCAAAACAAGCCCTATGCATAATCTGGGGATTCTGGACTCGCAACTCCTGCTCAAAGAGCAGATAGCAGTCGTGGCCAGGAAGTCCTTTGTACAATTGCAGTTTGTGTACCAGTTACGCCCTTTCCTGGACAATCCCTATTCACGGTCAGTCATTCCCTCATCACCTCCAGTCTTGACTATTGCAACATGATATACATGGAGATACTCCTGAACAGCATCTGGAAACTTCAGTTGCTGCAAAATGCAATGGACCACATGGTTTTGTGCAGACCTCAGTGTGCACATGTGTTCACCTGTGGGAACTGCATTGGTTGCCAATTTGCTTCTAGGTGCACTTCAAGCTGCTGGTTGTCCCCTTTAAAGCCTTTCATAGCTTTGGGACCAGGTTATCTGAGGGAGGCAAGGAATGTTGTGGGTCCTGTTCCCTAAGGAGATACATCTTGACAGGACCCAGAAGAAGGGCCTTCTCAATGGTGGCTCCTCTCTGGAATATTATCGCTCCAGAGGTCAGACTGGCCCCCACTCTTAACACTCTTTCGGAAGGCCCTGAAGACTTGGTTCTGTCAGCAGGCCTGGGAACCCATAGCTGGATGGAACCCATTAAATGGCTAGTATGAATATATGTTGTCAGGCTGGAGTTACTATTTTATTTTTATTTTTATTCCTTTTCCCCTTTTACATGCTGTTTTTATATCCTTATAAGCTGTCTTGTCGAATAGGCAGCAATATAAATTTTCTAAATATAATTGTTACCAGAAATATTTAAGTACTTTGATTTTTCTGATCACACCTTAATCTGATAACAATTTGTTTATACGTTTAATATTATTTTGCAGAAAAGTTTGCATTGTTTCCCCTTCTCTTTTTAGCCTCTATTATAAATCCATACTAAGATGAGCTGAAAGTATATTTGTGGATGCTAGGAGTCAGCATTGATGGCATGTGATCAATCAAAGATGGGCTGGTTAAAATCTGGTTTTTAAAGGAGGAATGTATACATGCAATAGTGCTATGAAAGCATGCAGAAATACCAGTAGCTTCTGAACATCAGATATTTTCTGTTGGCTATAGTTAAAATGAAGTAGTCTGTATTAAAACTTTAATTTGCAGATATTGAACTTTGTCCAAATGATTTATTTTTAAATTTGCAATTTAGCATTTGAGTTTCAGTATTTGAATTGTTTGGATATAGTTCCACTTGCAAATGCAGGTTTGTAAAGTAAAACACTAGACCAAGTATATAGAATTTGTTTTATTCCTAGCATTTTCATGCAAGTGGAGGGTCCATTTTATTTAGATCAACTTAGTGCTGATCCATTTATTGTGACACAAATTGACTGAGAGGTTTGTTGCCCAAACCTGACCAGATCAAACTGGGTCTCGGCCCAGTTGAATGGAAGCTGCAAGCCATCTGAAAAAAAAAAGTATGAAAAATCTTACGTTTCTCAATTTCTGGATCAAAAGTGGGTTTATATTATTTTAATCATTTTTATATCAAATTAAGAAACCACTGCAGGCAGTCCTAAGGCATTGGCAATATAAAGCCAATTTCTGTGTTAAGAATGTCCAACTTAAGGAAAACCCCTGGATATAAACAGGTTGCCTATTATTTAAAATGGCAAATGTTCTTCAAGCCAGCAAGGTGCTGAATCTGCATGTTTTTAATATACAGCCTGTTTTCAGTGGTTCCTGAGGTCGTTGCTGGTCATTCCATTAATAGGCAGTACAAATTCTAACTTAAATACATTTGGTTAACGACAGATTTAGAGAATGGAATTTATTCACAATCCAGAAACTGCTTGTACTCTGTAATGTCTATTATGTGGACTCCATTACATCTTAAGTACTCAATCCCTTGTTCTATGTTGGGATGGTTTTGAAGTTTGTTATTGGGGGTGGGTATGTGGGTGATGGAAGGTATGAGGTTTAGTCCTGTCCCTCTAGTGACTTTCCAGGGTTGTTTGAGGCTGGTAAGATGAAAGCAAGGTTGGGTTTCTTCTTCCAAAAAGATGCTTCCCTCAGAAGAAATCTGACAGGTATCTTGAAAGATTGCAGAATTGAGCGTTTAGATTTTCATAGATAATGATAGTTGCTCTAATTGTAATTGGTGTGGCAGTCATTTTAATGTTTGATTCAGATTAAATGCTAAGCCATGATTTTAATTAGGGATTAATGTTTAAGAGAAGGAATTAATCGAAGCAACTTGCCATGAATTCTATTCTACAATAAATATTCAGTGCAGAAAGTAGAATGTCAACTAAAAAGATACTCCTTTGCTCTTTCTAGCTGCCAGAAAAAGGGAGCAGGGGAAAACAGTGCATTCTTTAAATGCCTAGAGAATCACCCTGACAGCCCAAAGTTGTTGGAGCGCAATAATATTATTGGAGAGCATAATTGATGATTCTTGGCTATGGATGTGTTCCATTGGAGAATATACATCCAGGAGATGGGGGGATGACCAGGGTCAAGGGACAAATGAATGATGTATTTTAGTATCGGCTGCATCCAGCTAACACCAACATGGCCACTTCTAATCAATTTTATTTTTTCTGAGAGATGCGGCTAGAGACTTATGATTTGAATGGGGGTGGATTTGTTGGAGTCCTGACATAGAGATAAAATACACATCAGTTTTCAATTCAGGCAAAAAATATTAATTGGTTGAACACTATTGTATATTCTTAATTTATTAACTTTATTGCCATGTGGGAGAGAAACCATGTTACAGTGAGGCTTATTTTGCAAATCATCAGATGTAACTGTAACTATATTAATTTGCATTTAGAAATTGCTAAAAATCTCCTGAAAAATAATGAAATGAAAAAGCTAGTATTACAATGGAAAATAGGATTATCTTCTAAATCGTGCAAAAACTCAACAGCATGTTCTAATTGCATTATTTGGCATGTTTTCTAAATTCTGAGATTACTTTTAGTTGAAACCATTTTAATTAAAATTGAGTTGTGATTTCTACCTATAGAATTACATGCTTCACAATTCATTTTAAATATATGTAAAGCAAGACACATGTAATATGCAATGTTTATAAAGCGTCTTAACATTTTATTGTAAAATAATTACTTGGCATTCATTATGGTTCTGTTCATACAGGTCACAGCCTAGGAGTTCATTATGCCCTTATTAACTCCATATAAGCACAAAATTGTTGTATGTTTAAAATTCTCTAAGATTTTTTATAGGAACAGCTATTAAACATGGGTTGATGTATCTGAATCACTGCTTACACTGTCAATTAAAATGCAACTCAGGTAGCCATGGATATTGAAAATTCAAGTATTTTATTTCTCATGCTAAATACATAAAATTTAAATTAGGTACACAAATACTGTGTAAACAAGTCACATTATCATATAATTTCATGTGAAATAAAATTTTTAATCACTGAAACTTTATCCCAAATATACAAAAGTCCATATTCTACAAACTTGGTTCATAATTACAGTATAAAGTGCCAACACAGCAAAACATCCATTCATCATAGCTGAAGTACTTAAAGTGGTAAAATAAAGTTTTCTTCTTGAGACGTAAGACTTGGAATAAGGCATGTCTCCAGTTCTTTCTGCTTCTGGAGGAGCCCCTGGAAAGATAAATGAATATGCTTTTACAAAACACTGAAATTGTTTTTCTGCTATTTTAAACAGCAATCATAAATTCACACACAACTTATAGTAGATACCTGTAATGGATAAGTTACCCCTAGAAAAGAGTTATCAATTATATTCTGTTTATGCTAAACAGATTTTAAAATATTTGCTTTGTTAGAAAGTAAATTCTCAGTCATGTAGAAAATGATGGCGATTAAATTTAAAGCGCAGGTGCTTTTCTGGAAGATAAAATTACACCTATAAATAATTTATTCTTTAATAAAGAATTCTATAAAGAATTCTATTATCTCAATACCCATAACAAAGTAGATTGCATATTTCTGTACAAATATTTCAATGTAACAACTTTTGATCAAGATCCCTTCTCATTGCAAGTTTAATTACAGAGCCTAAATGAAAGAATTTTTCTCTCAGAGGCAATGATCATTTGGATTTCAAGTAGAATAGCTATTGTCATTTAGGATACTGACAGCATTTATGAGCCTGTCCTGCAGATAACTACATAATGCCTTGTTAATATTGAACTCTAGAGACAGGTGGGGACTGCTCTACTATAACAGCATCCCTACCTGGTATGTTGAAAATCTACTGATTTCCTCAATGGGTGATAGAATTTCTCAGACTTAAAAGTGCTGGGAGATTTTAATGTGCCTTCCTTGGTGGAAAGGGGTAAGAGGCTACCTAAGAGGTCATTGCCACCATGACAAACAGATATGAATCATATCGTTGACAGCTTGATATATGGAAGACTACAACACCCTAACATTTTTCATTTGAGGATAGATGTGATGATCTTAAGACTAAGGGTATTAACACCTATCCTTGTCATAATTCGATCATGCTCTGATTGCTTTGGAACCGACTGTTGTTACCAACTTCCACAAGGAGATCCCATTCGATCAGTTTTCTCTAGGCATTTAAGGAATTACTTGATTTTCAAAGAGTGATTGAGGATCGTCCCAAAGCTCTAATGGGCAGTCCAGCTAAGATTTCAGTTGCCCACTGGAAAAACAGGGCATTAGTGGCTTTGTGCTAAGAGGTCTCCCAGCTCTCCAATCCAAGGGAACTCCTTGGTGAACAGAAGCTCTGGGTGATGAAGCAGCAGAGAAAACACTCAGAAGGATGCTGACGGAAAATTAATCTTACCTATCAGAAAAAGCTCAGGTTTCAGCCTAAATATTGAGCTGTTTGTTACTACATCTGCAAAATTTTACCAATCAGTCCCTTTAAAGATCACATTGAGTGAGCATAGAAAGAAAAGTGAGGTTATGAGGAATTTTCTAGACATCTGGAAGGTCACTTAAGACTTGCTCAGAATTTGGTCTCAGCTGGACAGGTCCCATAGAGGTGATGAACATAACTTGCAAAGATATCTGGGAGGACTTTAAGCAGATGACTTCTAAGGAAATTGACAGAATTCTATGCAAATGTAGACTACATCTGGATTCCCATTTTCCCTGGTTGGTGAGATCTTCCAATAAGATGATACAAATATAAGTCTAGAAGTTGCTCATGAATCCTTTCTTCTGCAAGACTGATTGCATTTTTCCATCTTTCCTGACACACTTTTTGTCATGGATATGATGAAGGACAGGGGTGTCAAACTTGCATCATCACAGCATCATCACGTAATGTATCACAACTTTTCCCCCTTCAACCAGGTGGCGTGGCCAGGGCATGATGCATCTGGCCCGCAGGGCACATGTTTGACATCCTTGATCTAGGATATTCAACAAACATGGAGTTAAGGATTCAATTGGAGATTAGAATGAGACTGGCTTGATATGTGAATACAGTTGTTACAGCTGTTATTTCAAAGTCTAGAATATTGCTAAGCTTTAAAACATCAACTAGACATTTCCCAAAAAATACGAAAGATGACATTAGATTCAATAATAAAGAATGGTTAGGCAAAATGAAATGGTCATCTCAAGTGGCAATATGGAATTGGTTTCACAAATTTTCTTTCCATCTTGTGAGAAGTAAAAAAGAAGAAATAATTATTCCTGTAAAAGAAAAAATGTAAAAGGATCAACATATTTCTCTTCTGTTTCTCTTCTATATAATCTTAAAAAACCCGGCGAAATGTTAACACAGACAAGTGCTGATGAGATAAGAACCATTCAGCATACGTTTAAGCAGAAGTCTATTTGAGGATAGTTGTCATGCTGACCCAGAAGAGAAGTTAGTGTAAACAGAGTAGGATGTAGCAGTAAATGATTAGTTGTTAAGCATGTCACTATGGCTAGATTGTGAATCCAGGCAAAATTTTAAAAAATCATTTTAGAATCATCCAATATTAATTTCAACAATTTTAGCCAATTGGGCAGCAGAGAAGGTGGGAGGTCTTGATGTGTATAAAAAAATGTAAAATTGTCTGTTTAATTGCCTTGGTGCCTCAGCCCAGAAGAGGACTAAGTGCCATCTTTTGTGCAAAAGTCAATAAATCCTGGACTTTACAGTGTCTCCTGTCTGTTGTTTTAGCTGAAACTTTGGATTCTCACAATCTCGTTATGAACTGATCCTGAATAAAAGAAGAAATTATAAACATGTTCTCCACCTTTAGTTTTCTCAGTTTTGCATCAGTCACAAACTGATATGAGTTTCTAAAAAAAAAAAAAAACTTAAAACCCAACTGCAAGTAAATTCAAAGAAGAAAAAATGGAGGTCAAGCTAGGTTAATAAAAAGGTTTGTGAAGATCTGAAAACATAAAAAGGGCACATCAGACAATGGGAAGAAAGTGGGAGATTACCAAATAAGAGACTCATCTGTACAGAAATGTACAGATTGAAGTGTACAGATGTATAAGAAAGATGAAGACTAATGAGTTTGGGTTGTATCAAGTATGACAAAAAAATTCTTCAGGTATGTTCAAAACAACGAAAAAGAAATCGCTATTAAGTTACTCAATGAAAATTCAAAAATCACTCAAACTGTGGTTTGTAATCAATTCAGAGAAGTGGTTGATTAGAGTGCAACACTATTAAGTCTTCAGCCATATTCTAGTCACCATTTTTTACCTAATGTTCTGACATTAAGAGTTGGAGGGAATGCTTATCCAATATCCAGTTGTATAAAAAAAACGGTGGGTGGGAAGAATGAAATTAAACAGAAACACATGAAAAACTATTTATTTTGGAAATGTGTGTAACTTTCCCAAGTTATAAACACCTGGAATTTTCTCATTTGGCACGAGGATGTCTGAAATTAAATCATAATTGCTTCCAACCAGAATAAGAATCAATAGTGTAATATGGTTACAACAAAGACAATTTTAGTTGCTGCCAGCAAAAATAAAACTTCCAAATTGGAGACTGGTTCAAAGAACATTGAAGGAATTCATTGTTGAAAGTAATCTTATGATTGAAAGAGCTGGACCTGTTTAACTTTGAGGTGAGATATGACAGTACTCTTCAAATACCTGAAAGGATGCTATAAAGAAGGTCAAACCCTGTCCTCCATCATCCTAGTATGCAAGGTACAGAATTAGGAATGTTAGAAAATAATCTACTGGCCTCAGTAGTTAGAAAGGACAACCAACTATGAGGTGGTACACTCCTCTTCGTGGGATGTGCTGAAGCAGAGATTATATCTGTCAGGAATGCTTTAGTTGATTTTCCTACGCTAAAGGGATAGACTTAATGAATACACTTTATCTTTTACCATTGTAGAACATTTCCATTACACACATTTGTAATTTTCCCAGGTGCATTTTTGTTTTCTGGTTAAACAATAGTAACACAATTACTTAATAAGGTTATTTACAGATGAAAAATAAATAATTAGAATAGGTTAGGCTGATAAACAGCATGGACAAAAACATCGAGTATTAAAAGAGGATATAAAGATAATTCCATCCATCCATCCATCCATCCATCCATCCATCCATCTTCATTACCTTATTTCCTTTTGAGGTAAGTAATGCAAAATAGAGACAGACTAGGTAAAGAATTGGTAACCTGTATTTTTTCTACACTGCATGAAAATAAGATTATTTACAAATATAGAGCTGAAACAATAGAAATATGAATAGGTGATGGAGACCTGGACATAATAAATATGTAGTTTGTTTCTTCAAAAAAAAAATCAACATGAAAAGCCTGAGCAGCTTTAATGAATGGATGCCATAATACAACAGTTGGATGGTGCAATCAGTGTAACAGCAACTGAGACTATTTCTGCCATGCCATGCTTCAATCTAATGTATACAGAAAACTGAAACATCTGAAATAATAAATAAATTACACCATTTCTGGAAAGTCTAACAGATGGAGCTTCAGATGTATTAATTGCTGCCTTCTGCTCTGGATTTATAATGGCAAGTGGAAATGAGTAACACTTGCCAGTAATATTTCCATTTGCCATCATAAATGGGTATTCTGAAAGGCACTGGAAAATACAGATGACTACTGGGAGTTATATTTATTAAAAGAGTAATGGAGGATTATTCAAAAAGATTAATGCTAGTTATCAATCAAAGCATAATCATAAGAACATTGGAAGAATATCTGAAGGACAGTGAAGATGATGTACTGAACCTAGCACACCACAAAGTTTTACTGCATACTGGAGAGACCAAACTGGCCTACAAGAAAGACCAAATGAAGAATAAAAAAGAGACATGGCAAGGCAAAGTGTTTACATGTCCAGTACATTAAAAAAATAGGCAAAGCAGATGACAAGACCTGGCAATAGCATTAACACCCTCAAACAAGAACTATCTGCCTATCCAAGGTCCTTGGGAAGGATTTGATAGGTGGATAAAAAGGCCAAGTCCAATCTAAACATCTGGCTGACTGCAATTAACAATAATAGTCAGAATAGTGATATTCTCCCAAATGAAGGGACACATAATGTATCATTTGGAATATTAGGAATATCACCTTTATTATGTAAATATTTTTCAACATTAAAGAATAGAAATGTTTAAAACGGAAATTACTTGACCTATTAAACATTTAGAAAGCATAAAAAGTTGCATAGATACTGATATATTTGATGTTAATTTGAAATTAATATGAAGACTCTTAACACATGTAATACAAGAACTTTTAAAAGTAGAAGACATTACTATAGTTCTATTCCTGCCAAATATCAGAAAGACTGGTTTTTTCCCTGGGACTTGACTATTATATTAATCAATAAGAGAGGCAAAAGGATTGTGACTGATGCAAAACTGGGAGAGCTAAAAGTGAAGAACATATTTATAGTTTCTTTTTTATTCAAGAAGACTAACTCATAACAACAGGGAAAGAAAATTTGTGGAAGGAATTTCTACCAGTTTCTGGAATAAGGACACTGTGTAGTTTTAGGGTTATATTTGTAAATATGTAACACAAAAGGGTATTCCTCAATAAATGGAGATCAATTTTAAATATTCAACCCCACTAATCATAGAAAAATGGTTGCAAATATAGTGTCTGTCTCCTAGTAAATATGCTATGGAATTCAGTCTCCTATCAGCTATGAATAATTTCTGCACTTTGAGAAGTAGAAACATGATTATAAATAAATGGAACAATTCTGTTATGTCCAATAGTTTGAAGCAATTTTCCTCCCAATTTTCATGACTCTAAACATTTCATACTTTTATGAAAGCTTTAGAAAAGTTAATCAGAAGCAGAATATATGAATTATGTAGAAGCACATTACATGTAAACCATATTGTAATAACTGATTAATGAAATTTTTGTGTCTTTTTTTACAAAATGGAAATATTGCAAACAGAATGTAACCTTAGAGTGAAAAATTCAGCACAAACGATCAATGGTAAACAATGCGATATCAGTGGACTTTATGAAAAAGTCAACAGCAACTTTACTACACCGAAGTAAATTACCTCTCGCAGCTCTGAAAGTCCTTTGAGTATGGCTTGCTGCCTGTCTCTCACCATATTAGGATTAAAAAGAGGATCCCTTATGTGATCAGAGCTAAAAACCTGCCGTGGTTTATGGTAAGTATCTAAAGATAAATATAGATACAATTAATTGTACTATAAACAATTAGTGTCATTTTTAATATTGTGCATGAATAAATTATGGTATGTCTTCGCTTGAAATTTGTGTGAAAGAGAATGCATATATAGCCTTCTAAAGAATTTAGTTTACCTTTAGCCAGTTTCAAAAATACAGTTTCACAGAAGCAGTATTCTACATTTACTGATAGAACAGCAATAACAATAGCACTTAGACTTATATATTTATAGCAGGGGTCGCCAACCTTTTGGACCTCTGGGACCACCAAACTCATAATTTTAGATCCCAGGGACCGCTAACCGGTTCTGTGGGTGTGACCTAATTTGTGGGTGTGGCTTGGTGGTCATGTGACTGGCTGGGCATGGCTTGTATGTAAATATTATAAATATTTATATAAATATTGAATTTTTGATAAAAAAGAGCAACTTTTACCCAAAATCAGGCAAAGCAGGCAGGCAGATTGAGTTGCTCACAGAATTACAGGTTCATTCAGAAATCTATCTATCTGCCACTGGCTAGCTCACTCTGTCACATAAAATTTGCTAGCAAGCAAACTCACAAAATTAACTCACAACATACAATGTATGTAAATATTGATTTTTTTTATAAAAAAAGCAATTTGTACCCCAAATCAGGCAAAACAGGCAGATTGAGTTGCTCACAGAATCCATTCAGTGATCTATCTATCTGCCATCAGCTAGCTCAGTCTCTCAAATTTGCTTGCCGTGAGTCTGCACTGAATTTGCTTGCAAGCAAACCTTCAGTCCTAAGGGAAGCAGAGCCAAAGATCTAAAGACTAGCTAGAAAGCAAGAAATCCAACCATTTCCTGCTTTCTAGCTAATCTAAATCTCCTGGCACAGCAGAACAGATAATGGTTGGAAAAAGGAAACATAGCAATTTTAGCAGGCAAGTTTGCCAGGTAAGGAGTGGGTGGGGAGTGTTCCTACGGGCCATGTGGGCTGCTTAGCCTTGTGTTTCTGTGCAGCTTGGATTAATTGCTTTGGGGAGGTACTCTGGGGGTGAGATTTCTCTGCGGCCCACCAAAATTTTCTCAAGGCCCACCAGTGGGCCATGGTTGGCGACCACTGCTTTATAGGGCTTTACAGCCCCTCTCTAAGCAGTTTAGAGTCACCCTATTGCCTCAACAATTTGGGTCCTCATTTTACTGACCTCAGAAAGGTGGACAGCTGAGTTAACCTTGAGCCGGTCAGGACTGAACTCCTGGCAGTGGGCAGAGTTAGCCTGCAATACTGAATTAAAACCATTGCACCACCAGGGCTCAAGATGAGATCTATGTGATTAACTGTTAGTGACCCCATGGATAAATTTTCTCCTTGAACATCTGATTACAAATAGAATATATTTATGTTTAGATTGATAGATTTAAAATTAATGTTTTTCTCTTAAATATTTCATTTTGTTCAGTACTGAATTAAAACAGCACTGTAAAACAAGCAGTATATTAAAATCTTTATTCAGTAACCATAAGCATTTCTTGAATTCTCTACTGCAGTACCATTCAGCTCTTGGTATTGTGGCTCATGCGTGGAGGGCCTAGTCAAAGGTGCATCTGGATCAAGGTAATATATTTCATTTGTTCGCACATAAGGAACAAAATGAGATGAAGGAGGTCTTTCAGCTTCAGCAGTTGGAAGAGACCTTTCACACCGATGCTGATCTGTAGAAATACTTTTTGGGCTTCCATTTTTGCTGTTATGAACTGGGAAATCAGAAGTCTTTAGTTGTTGCTGTAATCTGTTTTTAACTGCTGGAACAGGTGGAGAGTCAGATCTGTTTAGAACAAACAATTCAGCTGCAGAAAATAATTTCAACCGGAATTTTCTTCATTTTATCAATCTATTATTAACTTCTGCTTATATTTAAATGCAATCTTGAAAATGTAGATCTCCTTCCACACGAACAGCCTTTATTTTGTTTAAGGGTAATTCAAAGGAGCTATGAGTGAAGATGAAGTTGTCTGATATTTGATATTTTAACAAACTTGTGTACATTTGATTTCTTAATGCAAATTTTTTCTCTAACAAGAATAGCTAAAACTTTGGAATTTATGCTAATTTTACTTTTAAATACAGTATCATAAAAATTGAGAACTTGATTATGTTACACAGATACAAAATCGATACTTTACTAGAGAAAGACAAGCTAATACCAACCTTTGTTCAAACAATTTTTTTGAGAATTGTTCTTCCTAAAATAAGATGAAAATAAACAAAGTTATTTTCACCACATTGTATTCCATAATGAACCCTATAATGAATCTTCTGAAATCTTCCCCATTGAGCTTGCTTGCCAGAAATTGGCAAAAAAGGTTGCAAATGACAACCATATGACAATGGGACACTATGATGGCTGGAACTCTGAGGACCAGTCATAAGTACCACTCATTCAGAGCAGGTTAGAATGGTCAATGAATGGTGGTTACCAATGGGCCACCTGTACCTCTAGACCAAGGGTGTAAAACTCAATTGTATCATAGCTCAGATTGTGACGTATCGTGACTTTTTTTTACCTTTGTGGAGCCGGGGTGGGCGTGGCCTGTGCATGATATATCTGGCTGGCGGACCACCAGTTTGACAGGTCTGCTCTAGACTGATGCAGAGTTTTAGAGGGATTCCAATATTAATTCAATTTATATAAATAAATAATAATGAAAATTCTAATAGCAAATCAAGATGCTCAAATTTCTTTGGTTAAATTGTCCCATGATGCTGATAATTTACATTTTCAGATTTTCCACTTTAAACCTAGACATTTATTTTAAAGCCTATGAGAATGTTTCCCCCCCAATATTACCCACTTTGAACTTGATTAGAAGGAAATGTATCACAACAGAGATAGCAGAGATTGTTTTTTCCAGCTTTGAAAGCTGCTAGGGATATATGGTCAGTTAAATAAAACTAATTTTAAACTATTAAATTAAGTGGCTACCTTTTAATCCAAATCACACGAGAAATTTGATCTGAACCTAATTTGAAGACAGAGGATAAATAGTTTTATTGGAAGTTTGGGGCCAAGCAAGAAATAAATACTTTACATCAGTTTTTGGATAATTTTAAGGATTTTAGACTATGCTGAGTATAACTTAAAATTATTGGCTTGGCAATATATATAAAATGAAAACATATATTGATCAAATAATATAATCTAGATACATTAGCAATTTCAGAGATCTTTGGAATTCTAAAATCTGTGAGACACTTTATTTGAAGTGAAATCAGTAATACAATTTTATGCAAAACAAAAAATGTGATGAAGTAAACATTGGTAATATGTTTGAAACATAGGAGGAATTCGAATATCCAACTTTAGAAAATCAATGGGTCCAAATTTCAAAAACCATAACATATATATCTAAAGAATCAATTAAATTCAACAGTAAATGAAGTGTGTATTAAGAACCCTGGCTCTACTGATCACAGATGGGAAAAAATATTCCTGATGTTAACACCTTCAAGATGTACTGTATTTTCCGAACTATAAGCCGCTACTTTTTTCCCACACTTTGAACCCTGCGGCTTGTACAACAATGCGGCTTATCTACAGATTTTTCTTCGCTAACTGCCATCAGGGGGCACAGAAACATGACAGATGCAAGAGGTCAATGCAAAGAAGAAGGCGCTACTAGTAGTTTTTGGCGCGCTCGGCGCAAGCAGCCCGACATGCACGAATGCAAAATATTTTTTGCACCCTCATCATGGAAAGTACACGAAGAAAAGCATATGATGCAGCTTTTAAGTTGAAAGCAATCCATCTGTCTATCCAGGAAGGAAACAGAACTGCTGCACATAAGCTTGGCATTAATGAATCAACGGTGAGACATTGGAGATGTCTGGCTGCATGCGAAGAGCATTCTTCTCTTTCTGTGTAAATATCTCATTTCACAACGTATATATCTGTGGCTTATAGTCTGGTGTGGCTAATATATGTAAAAAAAAAATTTCTTTAAAAATTTAGTGTGTGCGGCTTATATTCTGATGCGCTCTATAGTCTGGAAAATACGGTATCCTTCTATCAAAATTTTAAAAGTCTATTGTAAAAATAAGAAACTGCAGCAATGCATTTCTATGTGTTCTGGATTTAATAAATGTAAGGACTGAATTAATTTTATTATACTAATACATGGCTCTTCTTTTTTCTTCTTTTAATCACTGTAGTTACATACATGAGAAGAGAATGGAGAAGAGGAGGAAAAGGTGCTGGTGTGGCATAGCGCCAGTAGCATACTTAGCACTACACAGCAGCATACATCATTCTTAGAAATACTTCTGAGGAATTTTCATTTTTTAATTTGATTTTTTATCCAGCCTTCATTACTTATTAGGTAACTCAAGGTGGCGAACATACATAACATCCTTTCTCTTCCTATTTTCCCCACAATAGCAATCCAATAAGATGGGTTGGGCTGAGGGAGTGTGACTAGCCCAAAGTCACCTAGCCAGCTTTCATGCCTGAGACAGAACTAGAATTCACCGTCTTTTTAGTTGCCGCTTTAACCATGACAGTAAAATAACCCTATTATTTTGTTCTTCTCATAAATGTAATTCAATTATTTATAGCTGATTTTGTGGTATTTTCTATTATACTTCATTCCTCTGTGTGTAACATTCAATTTACCACTACTGCAAGTATTTATACTTGTCTGAGACAATGGTTTATGACTAGGCCATCCTCACATTTTGAAGGCACTTACTTTACTTTTGACCTCATCTTCTTGGCGAGGTGAGAGGGCTCTATCTGGGGAAACACCATTTTTCTTGCAAAGATTACCAGGGCTGTTTCTTTCAACCAACTGAAGCAATGCCATTTGTCGCTGTGCTTTCTTTTCTTCCCTCTGCTTTTGCTGGAGTCTGGGATATTTCTCAGAGGCCGGAATATATCTTTTGCAAGGTTTGTTTATGTTCCAGTCCATCTTTTCCCCATTTTTTCCCACTGCCTTTGGATGTTTCTGCTTTGGGGGACACTGTTCATAGCGACTGCAACAGCTGATAATATTCTCTTTTTCTGAAATCTTTTTATCTAGATATTGTTCTTCTTTCTTGCTTCTTTTATTGCTGAAGTCCATTATATATTCTACAGCAACATCTGGAGATGCACAGTCCATTCTTCCTTCCCCAGCTGGCGTAGGGGAAATTTCAGAATCAGTGGGAAAATCAGTGATTGCAAACTCTAACCAAAAAAAAAAAAACAAGTTTAAATAATTCCTTCAATATGTTTACTCAAACATCACTCATAATAATTAACATTACTCTAAACTTTTTACTCTGAATGCCAGTTAAGATTTTAAAAAAAATCAGCATTAGTAAACAAATTTAATGTTTATCCAAATTTTTAAATTGACCTTATCCAAGGTGAGTATATGACCACTAAATCCAATGGAAATAATCTCCAATATGATACTGTGGTGAGCGTTACATTATATTGGTAATAAATCTATTCCAACATAATTTATCTCTAGTCACTAATAAAGCCTAATACTCTACATCTTTATCTTTTATTTTCAGTGTGAATCTATCCATCTTTGCACAATCCAATATTTTCCAAATTATATTTTCATCTGATGGGGTGTTCTCATTTTTCCAATATTGTGCAAATACAATTCTTGCTTCAATCAGAACATGTAAAATTAAATATATCATAGTTTTCTGGTATAATACCTAACAAAAATATTTCTGGCTTCAAATCTATATGCTGCTTAATCATTTTTTATTTGATTTGTCAATTGCTTACAAGATAATAGGTATAAGTATAAACATAGTTATGAATACATGGATACATATAAGAAAAATAAAAGAAACCATTTTCCAACCATGTGTGTATTTTTGTCCAGTATTTTCTTGCTTTCGTACATGTCAACCATATATGATAATAAGTACCTGGGGTTTGATTACACTTCCAGCATTTGGAGGACATGTTGTTAAACATTTTTGCTAGTCTTGCCGGTGGCAAATGCTACCTCTAAAACATTTTGTAGAGATTTTCCTTATAAGCAATAGCCATTGTCAGTTTGTAATTCCTATCCCAAAGTTTTTGCCATTTATCTAGTTCTTGTATAGCTAAAGTTTTTTGCCCCTATCGTTTCTTTAACTTGTGCATTTTAAAGTTTATTTTCCAAATTAATAAGATTTGGATGTATAAATGCTTCCATTGTAGAAAGCCAGACTGGTATTTTCCTATAGTTTTGTGATTTAATTTTTTCCCATACTAAAAGTAAAGCATTCCTCACATAATGTTTTTGAAAATATCTATGTGCAGTACTTCTCCCATACCATGAAAAAGCATGCCAAACTAATTGAAGATCATGTCCCTTCAATAATAATCTTATATGCCTCAAATTCTTTTATCCATGTAAGTACAGATGCCTGATAGTATAGCTCCCTATCTGGTAGCCCCAAACCCCCATTGCCTTTGGACTCCTGTAACATTTTCAATGTTATTCTTGCCAGATATATTTCAAAATGGCTTTATTTAATTCTTCAAAATACTTCTTCCTCTAGTTTAATTGGTATTGTTTGAAATAAGAAAAGTAAATTTCGCTAATATATTCATTTTTATGGTAGCTATTCTATCATTGATAGTTGTAAATTCTTCCATTTCTCAAAATCCAACTTAATTTGTTGCATTAATTTTGTGTAGTTATCATCTTTAATTGTTGCACATCTTGCTGTTAAGTGGATGCCTAAATATTTCACTTTCTTTACTATCTGAAGGTCTATTTTCTGTCAATTCATTTCTCTATTTGTCTGTAAGGGTTTTTTGGTAATATTTTAGTTTTTTCTTTATTTTCAATCCTGCAATGTCTTCATATTCCTTGATTTTCCCTATCAATCTGGGGCCAGTTTCTAATGGTTCCAGTATAAAAACCAGATCATCTGCAAATGCTTGTAGTTTATATTTCTTTATTTCCATCCCTTTTATTTCTGGATCCTATCTAATATTTCTAGTTAACACTTCAATGTTAATATAAATAATAATGGGGATAGTGAATATCCTTGTCTTTTTTTTTTTTTAATATAGAAATTTTCTGTCACATCTTCATTCACCATCACTTTTGCTCTCTGGTTTGTGTAAATCGCCTTAATCATCTTTATAAATTTTTCACCAAAGTAAGAGACATTTTGAAAGTAGTGTTTAAATCAGTGACAGCAATCGCTAGCATATCAAATTGCTAGCATTTGGTGAGCCTGATGAACCTGCTTCCTCCTGCCAGCTGTCAGGCTATGCATTTTGAACAGAGTGTAGTTTCTGAGCTATCCAATGGCAGACCCACATACACTGTGTTACAGAAGGGCAAGGTGCAGCAACTGCAGAACTGTTACGTCTTTTGATTGACCTGCATTTTCCAATTAACACTTTATAGCAACAGCAATAGCACTTAGACTTATATACCGCTTCACAGTGCTTTACAATCCCCGCTAAGTGGTTTAGAGTCAGCATATTGCCCCCAACTATCTGGGTCCTCATTTTACTGACCTCTGGAAGAATGGAAGATCAAGTCAACCTTGAGCCTGGTGAGATTCGAACTGCAAATTGCAGGCAGCTTTATATTTTATATAACGTGTTTATTTAAATACTGATATTTTAAGTTTCGTACTTTTTAATATTCTGTATTTCACATTGCAAAATATTATTGTATATGACATGTTTTGTTTTTATTAGTTTCCTCACAGTTGGTTTTTCTAATGCATTTTGTGATGTATTTTTAATTGTCTGTACACTGCTTTGTCTCATTCTATTTTGAAAGTTTATACATTGAAACAAACAAACAAAGGCTCATCTGGCCTAGGTATAAATTCAAGCTGAAAAGTGTACAGGTTTTCTCTAGGAGCCACTGTAATTGAAGAAAAGGGAGGGAAGTGAACTGAGGGCAAGTTATCCAATGTGGCTGGAATGAGAGATGTCTCCTTCAAGAGGGGCTACCCAATTGCTTTAAAGGCAGGTGGTACCTTCCCACTCTTAAAAAAAAAGTTTATCACAACAGATTTCAGACGTCACCCTTTATCCAACTGCCCCAAAGGAGACAGATGGGGCACAAATCCAATCCACAGCAGGAAGAGCTCATGCTAAGGGTACCCTGTCTACTTCCTCAGTTTCTACAAACTCAGAAAAATTCCAGATGCCCTCTCGAAGTGTTTTTCAAGTCAACCCAGCAGTCTGTCCAACTCTGAACAAATGCAAAAGATTTTGTCAGCTGCAAAATCTGCAGAAGTGTCACAGTAATGTGTGAGTCCACTAGACTTAGCAAAAAGCTGTGGGGTAACACCAAACAGGATTGTTGAACAAGAGTCTGCCAAAGCAATATAGCGTGGAAAAATACATAAATAAAAAGTTGCATAATGAATTAAGGTACCTGTCTGCACAGCTGTGTCTTTCTGAGGAGAGAAATTACTTTTCTTTCTCTCATTTGTTTCATTGTTAGTCTCTGAAAAACAGTGATTCTGATAATTAGGAGTCTCTAAAACCCCATTCAAGTCAGTGTAATTATTCTCCTTAGTTGTATCACCTAAAGAGAAGAAAAGTCAAAGAACATTCCAACTCTATTTCTTAACATCAGTTTAATGCTGAACTCAAACCTTTGTTTTTGTCAATACTTTTAGCATAAATACTACTTAGTAAGGCAGAGTAGGAACAAGGAAATTATGTATACATACATACACATTAACATGAATACTTATGAAAATATCACCCCAATATCTGCCAATAAATTGAACTTTTCAAACCAAACAGATGGCCCAATCTAGGTGTACCTTACATATTACAAAAACTTTCCTTTAATTTTATTTTTTTAAAAAAACAGCATATATGTAAAATAAAAGTTCCATAAAATATATAAAAATATATTCTAAAAAGAAAGAAAAGGGGAGGTAGTGCTATATAGAAAAAATGTTAATATTATGGTTACATGTATTTAAATTTAGTTATAATACACCATCAATAAGAGACTGTATTGAAAGTGTTTTCAAAAACATTTTCAAAAATCTGTTGGGAAATATTTTGTGTTCTAAGAAGTTTCTCACATCAAGGAATATAGAAACAAATTTTCATTCAGTTCTGTATTATTTTTAAGTATGATACTAACCACCACCAAGGTTCTTTTGCAGTTTTGAAGTGTCATGTCCTTTCTGAGCCAAACTTTTAATCCGCTGCTCTTGCTTTAATCTTTGAGCTAATTCTTGAGCTTTCTGCATTGTTTGATACAACTCATTTGTTTTAAGGGTCATGATTTCCTAATAGGATAAAAAAGCATTAGGAAAATCCTATTTTCCTAATAGAATAAATAAAAGCAAGAATACTGTAAAAATAAACACTAAACCTATTTAAAACACTGTATGTTTGTTTGCATATTATAAGATATTCAAAGGAGAAATCTGTATGAGTATCTGAAAGAGATAAAGTATTTTTAAGATGTTTCTAACGCAATGCAGTTAGGGTAAATAGCAACTAGAAGTGAAAAAGGGACAAACAGAACTGAGAAACTAAGTGAAAGAAATATATGAGAACATTATCCTGGGCATGACAATAAACCTCTCTCTACAAATGCACATTCACATAGCAACAGAAGATTCAAGGAAGAGGTAAGTTGTTTTTATTACAAATATGGAAGCGAAATACCACTCATGCATCATCACAAAATCTCCAGAACTGTAAAGCCTACAAACTTGAAATTTGGCATGTATATTCTTCTTGGCGCTCACCAAGAAAGGATTTTTCGAAATGACCATCAGTGCATTAGTATTTTGTATATTATTATTAACACGCTCTGATGCTAAGGAGTTCTACTCCCCCTCCCTACCTGAAATCTGTTCCAAATGCAAAACACAAGCAGAGGAGAGGAGTTTCAGTTTCAGTTTCCAAGCAGCAAGCAGCTTTAGTACAGAACAGTTGAGCTAAGTCATGCCCAGTCTCCTTGCTGTCTCCTTGCACACTTAGCAAATACTGTTTCAGTTTCCATGTTTCAGTTTCCAAACAGCCCTCAACTCTCTCAAACACTGACAGGACACTAGCCAGATGAATACTGATAGATGCTGGTAGGCAGAGGCACATTTCCCCCCCCTTATTTTCTTCCCCCCAAACTAAGCCCGATCACATAGTTTTGTAACACAGGTATAGAGCTAGTTTTGTCATATTTATCAATCAGCACAAGAGTTTAAATCCTGCATCTGTTTCTCTTACCCATATGTAGTAATGAATTTTTGTCATCTATTTTTAAGCCTTGAATGTTGCAGGTTTTTTGATAAGTTTTGTTTGGGCTTAATTCTGGCTTTGCTAGCTTCAGCCCTCACTGAAGAAGCAAACAAGGACAAAAACCTAAATAAAAATTTCAGAAATATCTTGTTGCTTGAGTAAGGCTTTAAGTGGAAATTTTTCAATTTCATAATCTTTGATATTTCTTCAGCCTGAGGGTAAATAAACCCAGCTTAAATAGAAACCTGACAGACTTATTTGAGGCTGATGTGGATTGGTTTATTGCCATGGAACACGTGAATGTTTACCTCTTTTAGTTTTTGCTTTAGCAGGTCTTCTTCAAACTGTTTCTTCATCAATTCCTGTTCTCTGGCAAGCCGGTGCTCTTCTTCTTGTTCCTCCATTCTTCTTTGTTCCTCTTCTGCCTGTTTCTTTTTTCGCTTTTCTTCCACTTGAGCCATGATAGCTTTCTAGAAACCAAATTTGCAACATGTTTTAATCTACGCTAAAAGCTTCCTTCGTCCTATCTTCTTACTTCGTTTTGCTTAGGGTTTTTTTGATTCTGAGTCATTAAAACTTTATATCGGTCTTCGGTATAACTGGCTAAAAATACAGTATACGTAGAAAAACATATACAGTGGAGCTACTTGATCTCAAAAAAATCATTGCATTCAATTGGACGGCTTCTCCAATTCAAGCAAGCTTAGAAGAGGTTTCTCAAACCGGAAGTCAAAAGCAGCAGCTAGGAGATGGTGCTTTCTACTGCTGACAAAACTTATCATAATTTTGTTTAGGACAATTTCTGCTTAAATGGATGTATGAGAAAAGGGTCAAGTGGTGGTTTACAAATAGATTATGAAATCATTGGTTTCAAAATATACCTCCATTCTTAAAATGATAAAAACTCTGTTACCATCTGGCTCCCTTAAAAATTCAAAGAAGAAATGATACAGATAAGCCTGTATTACTGAGAGATTGGAAACGTATGTGTCATAAACTTATTTAAAAATAATTAGGTTTAGTTTGAGAAAAGCTCTGTCATGGTCCTAATCACATTCTAAACTTCATTCTATTGGCACAGTTCACGTTACTTGTTCCATTTGTTTTGTGTTTTTTTTTTATCCAATGCTGGTGCTTTGTCTTTTAATCCAATGCCAGTGCTCTTACGGAAAAACATAAATCAATAAACTAGAAAGGCAACGTTATAGTGATTTTACCTGATGTTCTAATTGTTTTTGTCGTCGTCTTCCTCGTTCCTCAATCTGAGCAGGATCCAGAAGAGCAGTCATTGAACGAAGGAAACTATCAGCAGAGGGGAATTTGGAAAGATATGTAATTAAACAAACTGTAGCTCTTTTGTCACAAAGCACCACATCTTTTCCTAGAATCTCCATCGTCCTATCCCCCTTCCCTTTTCATTATTTTCCAGGGTCCCTTTTTAACTTTTAAACAGGGGACTAAGAGATCTGAATTAAATTATAAGAAGTCTGGATTTACATAAAAGAGTTAGAAATCAACAAAGAAACAGAGATAATGTTAGTAAAAATAAAACTACATTCACTGAACAAAACAGTTCTGAAAAAAATACCTAGAGTTTCTGCCTATATTTTTCCTTCACTAATTTACCTTACTGACTTCAAGTTTCCTAGGACTTTTCAGTAGAGAACTAATGCTTGCCTCAATCAGAAAATCCAGTTTTATAGTCTTTGTTACCCTAACAAATTGCAGCCAGCTCTGAATCGAGAAAAATAAACTTCTAACTTCCTTTCCCAGTCTGAATTCTCCCCAGCCCTTAGTGGAGATGGAAAATAGAATGAAATACTTGGGTTTATCAACTACCTGCAACCCCCTTAATCCATAAACATTCAAAAGCATTGTAAAAAGGCCCTGTGACATTTCAGGAGACTAGATACAATATTCAAAATGATTTCACACAAATACCTTTATTCTCTAAGAAGTATATATATATATATATATATATAGTTAAACAAGACAAATCTGTAGAAAAAAAAGAAATCCTACAGTAATAGCAATAGCACCTATACCACTTTACAATGCTTTAGAGCCCTCTCTAAGCAGGTTACAGAGTCAGCATATTGCCCCCAACAATCTGGGTTCTCATTTTACCCACCTCATACGGATAGAAGGCTGAGTCAACCTTGAGCTTAGTAAGATTCGAACTGCCAAACTGCAGGCAGCAGAAGTAGCCTGCAGTCTAACCACTGCACCACCGTGACTCATAATGCAGATAAATAAGAGTTGCAAGTACAAGTAAAATTAATTTATTGAAAGAACAGTTTTATAGGTTATGCTGATTAATGCCAGATTACAACCTGGGAGAAAAAGTTTAGGCAATCACCTGGCTTTTTGATTTGGCTCTGAAATATAGTTTCCAACGGCTTTTCCTGGAATCTCTATCTCTGTAGGTGTGAGGCAAGACAAGGCTGAAGATGAACAAGCTGTATGGTCATGGGAGAGCTGTACAGCCTCAGGAGTCTTTTGATATGTTGTATTTAAAGGATATTGTATAAACGAATTCATAGGATTCTTGAAAGAATCAAAATGTATTGTCCATTTGTCATGCTCTTCACCCTAAAGAAATACAAAGAAAATGTTTAAATATATGTCCACATTTTCTTTTATGAAGCTCAAACAAAAGTGTTGGGGCACAACAGAACCACAGAATGGGGGGCTTAGCTGTTTAGACTGAAGCTTAAAACTTCCTTAAATTTCGGACTATTAGGGATCAGCTTTATTCTTTAGGCATCTGCAAGGACTGATCAATATAGATAAATAGGGAGACCAAGCATGGTAGATTTCAGAAGTGCCACTGGGAACTTTCACTTATGAGTTGTTCCATTAAGTTTGGAGGTCTCTGAAGCGGTGGCAAGATGCCAGTCAAGAAGATTCTCTGAGATTATGGGCAAGAGATCTGAAACTCCAGAGTGGATATTAAACAGGGCCATAGAAATATGCATCCCATCTTGAATGGGACTGAACACTCAATCTAGGGGAACTTTTTGATAACATGCCACTAAAACACTGCGACTTTTCATATGGCTTGTGCCAATTTCTTCCAAACAGCCATTTATATTTCCCCTTTATCTTTTTCCATAGGGCTATATATTCTTGTTACAGGACACATATGTAAAGAATGTTCATTAGTGAGCTTAAAGGTCATAGATGCTCTAACACATTTGACTAGCTGTGGAGCACACTTTGTTAAACCAAGGAGCGAGGGGATTAGGATTGAATGCCTGGACAGTATAATATTACATCTCAAAAATTCCACTGAAATATATTAAAGACATTCTCCACACCAAGCAATTACTGTTTGAGTTCAGGAATGTTTGATATATTGACAAATTGTTGAGAAGCATTTGTAGATTTCACTGGACCATTTATTTGAGGGTTCTTAAAACTTGAGTAGCCAGGATTCAAATTTTTTATGCTAACTGGAATCTTTATTTTCCCTAGCAATTTCAACATGCACGTTTTGTACTTCCATTGCTATAATTCTGTTTTCTAAAAAAACAGCTCGATTAATGTTTTTATTAGATCTTCCATTTTTTTCTTATTTAAAGTGGCCTTATAACTATGACTACCTTCAAAAAATTACATTTTTCTTCCATTTTTCGCTGCTTGTCAGCTTCCTTTTGCTTATCAAGCTCTTCAAGCCATTTTTTCTGTTGCTCACGTTTCACAGCACTAAAAGGATGCTCTATTGGTGTTGCTTCCTAAAAGGAGAACACTGGTTATTTTCGTTGCCCCTTTACTTTTGTCATACATGTACATAAAAAAAGGAGGAAGTTAAATAAATTCAGTTTATCCAATTTGATTTTAATCTTTAGCCTTTGCCCTACGTATTTGTTGTGGTTAGCCGGCAGCAGATGCAGATAGCTGAGGTGAGCGAGGACTCCGATGAAGGGCCAGGACCATCAGGGAGTGAACTGCCTTCAGAGATTGTGGCAGCTGGCAGCAGTGACGAGAAGGTTCCCTAGGAGCCTGTGCCAAGTGCACGTGCATGAAGGATTACTCAGAGGAAAGAATAATTACAGCAGCTAAGGCAACTCGGGAGTAAGGCTGCAAGGTAATGGCCCCTCCCTCAAGAGGATAAAAGCCAGGTTTGGAAAAGCGTTCTTTGCAGAAAGCAAAGAAATTCTGGTGGACATCTTAGTTCGTGAATCTTGCAAATTAGTTCTTATCTCTGGGTTTTTGGCAGCCTTGACAAACAACTTGGCAAGGCTCTTTCTTGTTGGAGATAATTGTTGGAAAGCAGCCTTTTATCTGTAAAGGAACAGCATTCGTGATTAAACCTTGAAAGGTGGGGGCTGCTGCCTTTGTCTGTGTTTGCTCTGAGAACCCGGATGGGTCAGAACAGTATTGTGGGTAATGATCATATTATTTCTGACTGCAATTTAAGGTACTGAAACCTCTTGTCTTTGAACTACTTATTTCTTCAAGACTGTTGCATTAAAATCCTTGCTGAGCCATCAAATATTTGGAACTTGAGATACCAATTAGGTTGGGACATTTTAATTTTAAACTTCAATTTAATTATAATTACTGTGTATTTTGAATATATAGGTAGTCCTCGACTTACAACCATTTGTTCAGCAACCCTAACTTATGGCTAGTCCCAATTGTGGTTATAAGTTGAAGACTACCTATATAATTATATCTATATCTATCATTTTTGACGTACATTCATTCTTATGTATCTAAATAACCTGTATAGGTACAGGAACTTTATGACACAAAATAAACAAAATGTTGTTTTCGATGCATATATATATGGTTTGAAACATTACATACATTTAGTAACTTACACTTTGACCATTTATAATAAAATCAAGTTAGAGGTAATTTTGTCAACCCTGAAGTTGACCTGAGGCCATTTTGAGGCTTCAGTTTTGCCACACTGGAGCTGAGGGGCAGAGAAGGGGGAATAGGGATAGTTGGGGTTTTGTAGCCAAAACAAAATACTTTCTCCTGGGAATCAAGGACATTCCCACAGGTGGTCGGAGAGAGGAGGAGTGAAGTTACCAGATAACCGGATAGCACCTTGATTGGACCATGTGACGGGTTGTTTGGGGGAGGGGAAAACTTTCTTTTAATTAAGTGTAAACGACTTTGAATGTTCCCGTGGTTTTCACCTGCCTGTGCCAATACGAGATGTCCAATAAAACTATTATTTGAGGAACTTACCTGCCTCAGAGGTCAACCTGAAACAAGTAAAAGTTTGCTAATGTCATAGGATTTTCTCTTCATTTCCCTATAGTTTTTGTCACTTCCAAGCCTTCTCTAAATGTCTCTCAATCTTCTGAAACAGAATTGGAAGATGCAGTCTGGATACACTGGCCCATCCCCTTCCACTGATAGAAGTAATATCAGGAGCAGTTAATTGCCTTTTTCATTTTCTGCACATCCTTTAACTGTAACCAAATTAGTGCCCATGCAAAATATGGCCCGAAGTGCATTCATTAGATTTGCCTTAAAAGCAGGGGTGGGATGCTGCTAGTATAACAACTGGTTTGTTGATCACATGCTTTGCGCTTCATGTACGCACAGCGCGCATGAACAGCAAAACAAAAATCCTTACCTGCTATGTTACTTTAGGGGAGTTAACACAGCTGAGGAGCGGCCATCAACTCTTTCACACTGATCAGCTGGGACGATAAAGGTCAGTACAGCACAGGGCCGGCGGGCAGGCCCATATGATCATCGGAGTGAACCTGTTCGCTTTCAGCTGATCTTCAGAGCTAGGGGTTGGCCCAAACCAGTCCAAACTGGCAGAATCCCACCCCTGCTTAAAAGTATATCAAAACAACTCCAAGTGACATCCCATAAACCAATCTCTTAGAAACTGCCAAATAAAGGCATTCCATTTAATATTTTGTTTTTAAAATATAGAACAATGCTCAGAAATCCATTCTTACCCCTAACACAAAAGCTGTTCGGATAGCAGCTGGCAAATCAGGAGAACTGAAACTAGAGAACTGCTCAGTTCGACCACTGGACACACTGGGAGAAGTTTCACTAGGCTCAGTGGCTGAAATTCTGTGACTATTGAGATCTTCTGCTGCAGGAGTCAAGTTGTCTGATGACATCATCTATAACAAGGCATCTTGGTGAATTCAAACATTATACATTAAGAGGAATGTTAAAACCAAATACAACATTATAAGCGATCCTATATTATGTAATTGATTTTACCCATAAAATAATATCAGCTACCTCCTACATTATGCAGCACACCTAATTTTAGGAAAGTTTGGGAAACAACTGCCTCAGGTTGTGAAAATGCCTTATGTCCAATAGCAAAAAAATAAATAAACGTTAAGTTAAATGGAAGCATCTATTCTATTTAACAGCATATAGTAGAAATAAAAGTATAGATATAAGCATTTTTCTTACAAGCAATGGATACAGTAAACATGTTGTATTTTTTACCTTTTGTCCTTTTTCTAAGCATCTCTTCACTGTATCAATTGCCTGCCGCTGGTGGTATCTGGACTCTGCTTCCAAAGTTTCTTTTAGTTTCTTCTTTAAAGCTACCTGTTCATCTGTAACACAGAAATAAACATTGCAATCGCTCATCAACTGCATTCATTACATCACATTAAATAATGGTTGATCACGATGGAAGTAAGACTAGAAATGTCCTTGGCTTTGTATATATCACTCTTCTTCCATGCCTTTCTAGTATCACCCCATGACTTGAGATTTCTCTTAACATTCTTTATTAACATCACATGTAATTTAGATTTGTCATTTGTTGTGAAACAAGTCATAATTTTAAATGGCTTAATTCAATAAATAGGAGCTAGAAGTAATACATTTGATAGAAGTTTTGGTTAATAATAAATTAATCAACTTCAACTGCACTACAGATGGAATTTAAGAATGCATTTTAATCTGATTTTATTTTATTTTATTGTTTATAAGTTCATCGGGAAGTTATTTGCTTTCTCTCCCAGGAAATGGAAAATGGAGAAATTTTAATTGGTTAACAGAGATCACATACAATCACTCAATTCAATTAAAGTCTAAACAAGGGAAGTATCATTCTTTTTTCTACTTACGTGAAAAATAAGAATCACTCCATTGTTTTCCAGGATACAGGAGTAAGAAACAGTAAGTCAAATAAATTAAAGCATGAGATATGGAAAAGAAGAGAGGAATGGAAATTCAGCTAAATCTATATTTAAATCATATATCAACCATTTATTCTCTCCATTTCTTTTTATCCTTGTAAATCACTTTTGCTTCTTCTATATCTATATACCATTTTCTTCAATATACTGCATGTTGCTCCTACACCCTGGATGAGAACCAAGTAGTCTCTAGATTACAGATTTCTTATAACTTTTTTACCAATTCAGTCAAAACTGCTTATAAGAACAGCATAGCCAACAATACACTTTATTTAGTACCAACAATAATAATAAGTGTCTTGGGTGCAATCCAAAACCGCTGGAACACCACTTGAATACACTGGCATCGACAAAAATCACCCATCAGTCAATTGCAAAAGGCAGCTTTGCTTGAAACAGCTTACATTCTGTGATGATACCTCTAGCACCACTGAACATCACTTCTGCTATCCCAGGTCCTTAGAAAGGACTTGACAGATGGACAAAAATGCCAAACCCATCTGAACATCTGGCTGATTGTCCAATGAACCGTAATCAAAATTGCAATAATCTCAAAGAACAAGGGCATTCATAATGTTGCACCTCATTCAGACACTATATATAGAAGATCTTGTGGACTAACCACCTTTTAACAAGTGCTTTTCTGTCATGTTTCTCTGACCATTTTATCACAAAGCTTGAACTGTTTTCCATTAACCACTTTGACTTCCTGATGAAAAATCACTGCCTTGACATTTTCCTTTCACCTCTTGCTACCTTCCAAGGTGGGGTCCAAAATATAGTATCCATTGATACAAGCACCCTCAAGGCAACCAGCTTTGACCAGATCAGTGCAACTCCTATGGTGTTTCAGCACCACAGATGCTCCTCACTGTCTCTCTAATCCTTTAGAGTTGGAAGGGACCTTGGAGGTCATCTAGTCCAGCCCCCTGCTCGATCAGGAGAGTCTATTCCAAATATTAGCCTCTAACTAGGATCGAACTCACAGCCTCCTGATTGTAAGCCAAGATGCTTCAAACCCTAGTCACCGTTGAATATTTTTTTCCAAAAGCATTTTTTGAATATTATGGCTTCCATCGGTATGCATAATGTTTTTTTTTATTATTGTGGTAATATTTTAGTCTACTTATTATAAAAAGCATCTTGAATCAGTTTACAAAGTGCCATATATCAAAACAATCTAAACACCATGGATGCACACATAGGGCTCACAGTCAGCACTTCCTTATCTTCCAGACTCTGGTCCTTCATTTCAGTGATCCTTCAGAACACAATTCAAAGCTTCACAAACAGTAAGCCCTAGCAACCAACAATCTTCAATACCAGTTCTAGTACATAAACCCTCTTTAAAGTCTAAATAAATAAAATCTGCAAACAAAACCTAACTGACACATTTCTTTCTAATCTAAAAACACATGTGCTGGTGCCATTTTATTTCTTGCTCTGGCATGGAACAGGGTGAGGATTTGGTTGCAGTTGCAGCATACTGGGCCAAGATGTGCCAGAACTGACTGGGACTGTCTTTATACAAGAGATGCCACATCTGGAACAGAAATAAGTAAAGCCAGAAACTAGCCCACTACATCTTTTTTATCTTATTAAAAAAGCATTATAGGGAAAAAAGACTTGTAAATGAGGCATGAATTTTAGATAATTGTTATTTGATTTCTATATTTAT